TGTGTTTTGTGTAACCATTTAAAATTTATTTACTTATTTATTTATCTTTGGCTGCACTGGGTCTTCACTGTGTGTGCTTTCTCTAGCTGCAGTGAGTGGAGGCTACTCTTTGTTGCGATGCCCGGGGNAAGGCAACCTATGAAAATGTGTTTTGTGTAACCATTTAAAATTTATTTACTTATTTATTTATCTTTGGCTGCACTGGGTCTTCACTGTGTGTGCTGTCTCTAGCTGCAGTGAGTGGAGGCTACTCTTCGCTGCGATGCCCGGGGTTCTCATGGCAACAGCTTCTCTTGGTGTAGAATACAAGCCCTGTGGGCTTCCCAGTTGGTGCTGGTGGTAAAGAACCCTCCTGCCAATGCAGGGGATGCAAGAGACCCGGGTTCAGCCCCTGGGTCAGGAAGATCCTCTGAAGGAGGGCATGGCAACCCACTCCAGTATCCTTGCCTGGAGAATTCCACGGACAGAGGAGCCTGGCGGGCTACAGTCCATAGGGTCGCAAAGAATCAGACACCACTGGAGGGATTTAACACACATGCATGCACATGCAGAGGCTCTAGGCATGCAGGCTTCTGGAGCACGCGGGCTCCAGAGTGCTGGCTCAGTAATTGTGGCTCATGGAATTAGTTGTTTGGCAGCATGTGGGCTCTTGCTGGGTCAGGGATCGAACCCATGTCCCCTGTATTAGCAGGTGAATATTTAACCACTAGACCACCAGGAAAGCCCCTACCAAGATTTTAAGCAGCAAAAATGCCAGGAACACAGAAGCCTGCTGTCACCACTGCTTCCCTCCCTAAGACTCTCTCTGTGCCCCAGAGAAGCCAGTAACCACGGAGCATTCCCTGGTCCCCATTCCAAAGAAGTTCCATATCCCCCTCTCTGGGGTCAAGGTTTCTCCTAGTAGGCAAATACCACTCCTAAACTCAGGTTTTGAATGAATCAGGGTTGCATGTAACAGAATACTGAGGAAGACTGAGGACTTTTCCTTGACTTTTGACTTCAAAAAGCCACAGTGTTGATTTGGTTTCTATCTTCCAAACTCCTGTTGTCTTCCTGAATAATTTTAGGTCAGTTCTTTATCCATCATTCAAGAAGAGAATTCAATTATTTCTGAATGAAATGTATTTTCTTTTCCAAATATATTTCCCTTCTCAACCTCATTCAGAAATTAGAAGCTGGATGGCTCCCGTTTTGATGGCAAGCTGCCTGGTTCCATCAGTTTTGGCAAAAAGCAAGAACAAATAATTCTGACCTGAAGCTAATGGCTCCAGGCTTCATAGGACATTACAAATATAAGGAAACCGAAATCCTTGCCTAATGAAGTGTTGGGAGGTTATAGAATAAATTATTTCAAATTTATGTAGTTTTTTTTTCAGACACAAGCATAAACCCACTAATTTTCATTATGAAATTACATTCATAAATTTAGTTCAGCTTCTAGATCTATATTACAGAAATTCTGGCTCAAATATACTGAGATACATGTACAAGATATTTCTACCCTGAGATACTCATTCAGTTTTCTTGGAATGCTCTTGGGTCAAATACTCACATGGCTTGCTCCCTGACTTTACTCAGTTCTCTGTTCTAATGTTACTTTGCAGAGAGAACTTTCCTGAACCCCCTACCTAAAACAGATCCATCACTCCCCACCCCATTCTCTGCCACTGTGTTCTTGAGACAAGAACCTCACTTGTCTACCAGAACTCCAAGCTGGCCAGGGAAGCCATTTGCCCTGGTTCTATACACATGCGTGAATGTCCACAACAGGAAAGTTCTGGGAGCCTCTTTGCCTCATGACAGTCAAGAGATGTTTCTAGGTGCTGTTTCCGAAATGCAAATGGATAATTTTGAGGACAGATTCAACTTTTTAATATTCTAAAAATAGACTTAAAGTCATAGAAGTTACTAGGAAAGCACACATTTATGTACCTGACTTAGCTGCTAGAAGTCAATGTCAATGCCTTAACACTTATGTAACATTTTACAAGGTAGCAAAACATTTTTACACAAATTATTTACCTTTATCCTCACCCAAATCCTCTGATGCCAAGCAGACAATATCCTCATTTTACAAATAAGTAAACTAAAGCTAAGACTAATTATGTGTGTTGTTTATATTCACCCAGCTAAAATACTACATTCAGTACAAGAATCCAGGAAACCTAATTTTTGATCCCTGACAAGTAATTAATGTATACCTCCTGACTACATTTTTTTAAATGCAAACTTACAGAATTTTGCTTAATAAGGAAAACACTAAAGTAATAAATTTATTTGTAGGTAGTCAAATGTTTACTGAAATAATGAGTGAATAAGCAAACAAAATATTTTCAAGGAATAGCAACTATTGTTTTCAAATATACAACTAAATCTAAAGCAGCAAAAGAGATCTTTAGGAAATCTCTCACAATAAACAGACAAGTGGTCCTTTATGATCTGTATTTGCAAATTATGTATATATTAGGTTAGCCAAAAAGTTAGTTCTATTTTAAGTAAAAATGAAAGATAATTTTCATATTCACCAAGAACTTTATTGAACAATGAATCCACTAACCAAAGGAACATTTTGGCCAACTCAATATAAGACCTCCTTGTAAACAACTGTTTGTCAACCATGAATGGACGTACTTAGGCAAACTGATGATGTAAAAAGTAATTCAGCCAAATCCTATGGGAGTAATAAAACAATTAAAATCAGGGCAACTGGAAGCTAAAGTTTGATATCTTAGGAGTGCTTTCTCCTCAGCTTTCATGTCTCTAAATTATTAGCATGTTTTCCCAAGATTTAACCTTTACTTTTCTTGTAGGTACCATGAAAAAAGTCCTGTGAAAATTAATTGCTGCTGTGGGGAAAATTCCCAAACAAAATTAATTAGGATTATTAAAAAAAAGAACAAATGCCTAGGTACATACTGAGCATTGGTGCTATTCGTATTCTTTTCCTTGACGACATTATAGGGAAAAACCATCCCGTCACAGTTTCTTGCTGGACCACAGACATCCCAGAAGTGCAGTATCAGCAAAGTTAAAACAGAAGAAAGTAGGGATTTCATAGCCTCCGGTTGGGGCAGGGGAGGGGGACAAGGGGTGGGAAGGAGGCATTAATTAGGGCTTCCCAGGTGGCGCTAGTGGTAAAGAACCGCATGCCAATGCAGGAGACGGGTTGGATCCCTGGGTGGGGAAGATCCCCTGAAGGAGAGCAGGGCAACCCACTCCAGTGTTCTTGCCTGGAGAATCCCCCGGGCAGAGAAGCCTGGCGGGTTACAGTCCATGGGGTCACAAAGAGTCAGCTAAAGCGACTCAGCACACATGCATGCAAGAGGGCTGATTAGAGCACAACTGTGATGACAAAACACGGCTCTGATAGGGCTGATCCAAAACCAGGTTTTCATCTAAACTTTTCTAATTATATCTACATTGTTGACTTAAAAATAGTCTTGTTATGATGTATCTATTTTCTGCCAGGGACAGGAGGTAAAGAAAAGGCTCTCTTATGCTAAGAGGCAGGGGAAAAAATGCAAACATAAACCGTGGCATTGAATATCAAGCAAGATACAAAAAGCTTGGAGAAAAGAAAGGTCAGAATAGGTTGCAGCCCACAGGAAAGTGGATAGAATGAATGCACATATGCTAATGAAGTGGCAAGGCTGTAGGAGAAATGGTAACAGCTGAGGAGGGTCCCTGAAAGGGAAGCAGGGGCGACAATGAAGATAAAGCAGAGGTTTAGAAGCCTGAAAGTGGAGCTGTGGATGAAAAACTATTGCCTGCCCTATCAGCAAACAAAGGATGCTGTGGCCGTGAAGCCATCAGCCACGCCCAGCAGTGCACCCTGAGGGGACTCAGGATGCAAAAGAGCAGGATACTGGCCCCAGGCAGCTGAGGCGCACAGCGGGCACAGTATCAGTGAGCCCACACTCTTGCATCTTTCAAATATATGCATGCTATGTCCCGTCAGTCCCGTCTGACTCTGACCCTACGGACTGCAGCCCACCAGGCTCCTCCGTCCGTGGAGCTCTCCAGGCAAGAATACTGGAGGGGGTTGCCATGCCCTCCTCCAGGGGATCTTCCTGATCCAGGGATCAAATCCAGGTCTCCTGCATTGCAGTCAGATTCTTTACCATCTGAGCCACCAGGTAAAGCAACTATCCTCCAATTAAAAATAAATAAATAAAATAAAATGCGTGGTTTTCTTTGATGGTAATCTTCTGATATTCTGACTACTTGGTTTTTGTTACAAAAACCCCTATCCATCCGGGCTCCTCCCTTATGTCTTTGGAGCCCTCCCTCAGAGTGATCTGACAGGCTGTCTTACAGGCTTAAGTCCTCAGAAAATCCACCAAATAAAACATAATTTTCAGTGTTTAGGCGGTGCATTTTTTTCCCCAGTCAACAGAACTCAATTTCTAGAAGAATGGTTTTCCACTGATAGAAAACGAGTTTTCATCCTAATTTTAAACCTCAACATGTTTAATAGCGGTGTTTCAATCTCTTACCCACATGTACAGGCTTGAGATATGGGGGCTACACTTTAATGAAGTGGCAAATTCCCCCCCAGCCCACATGTCAAAGTATATATGCTCCATGTTGAAATACAGATGTGTCTTTTGATAACCCCAGGATCCCAGGGCCCTAAGGATATCTGCTACCAAAGTCACAGTCCTCTTGTATACAGTCCTGCTGAACCATGGGTAACACCTCAAGGTGAATATCTAACCTAGATTACAGATGTATGTTCTTTGATAAGGGCATCCCTGGAGCATTTGTAATGTCAGCTCCAAGCTGGCCCTTGCCAAGAGTGCTTGTCATCTACTTCTGTAAGGATTGAATCATTTGCTGATGCAGCTGCTGGCCTTCAATACCCCTAAAGGAGTTGAGGGTGGAAAGCAGAAATGAGGCGCTCTGTGCTCGGGGGAATCTAGCAGGACAGGTCTTCAGATTGTTAGATGTTCTCAGGAGCTGATTTTCTGAGCCCAGTTCTTGTCTCTCCTCATATCTAGAAAAGCACTGAAGTCCTTCATGGTGACACTGTTCCTCCTGACTAGCAAAGTCTTCACGAGACTGACGGAAACCTTCTGGAAAATACGTGCTTGATTGTAAGTACTCCCCCTTCACCAAAATCCCATCTCTACTGACCTTTCCCCAGGCCTCTGTGGAGCAGTCTCTCAGAGCTCACTGAGGTACCATCTCCTGGGCTGCAGTTCGAATTTTGCCCCAAATAAAACTTCACTCGCAGCTCTAATGTTGTGCATCTTTTTAGTCGACAGTACATTCTTTGGTGCAGAAGGGGCTGAGTGGCATCTTCTGAGCTGGGACAGTACCCTTCTATATCTATTTATCTCCCAGATAAGTACAGACGTATGTCTAGGCTATCTGGGGAATTCTAATAAGACAAACATTTCTAAACTCCATTGAAACACTGAAGTGTGCCAAGACCTTGTATATTCTCCTGAGGTCTGATTACAAAGTAAAACATCTGGGATGAGACGGTTATATCCATGCCTCAGAGAAAACCATTGGTAGAAAATAAAGTAAAATACCTAAATGTCTAGGTGTGAGCATGTCTTTACTTTTTCTCTGAATTTATATAATCTAATTGAGTCTGTGTATGTTTTCCAGTTCTACTAAGAACTAGCATAAAAACATTCCTAAGCTTTTTTTTTCTCATTACACATAAGCCACTAATCCCTTTAATATTTATCCATTTTTCTCAAATATCATTACCATATTGAATTCTTAATTCCATACTTCTAAACTACTTCCAGAGCTTTGGAATCACTCACACTGCTTCACACTACTCTCCCTCAAATCAGCTTTGTATTTAGCTTCATATTGTTTCTTCCCAAAGCATCAGTGAGCTTCCCTGATGTCTCAGCAGGTGAAGAATCTGCCTGCAATGCAGGAGACACAAGGGACGCAGGTTCGATCCCTGGACCAGGAAGATCCCCCGGGAGAGGAAATGGCAACCCACTTCAGGATTCTTGCCTGGAGAACCCCACAGACAGAGGAGCCTGTTAGACTCCAGTCCATGAGGCCACAATGTGTTGGACATGACATAGCAACTAAGCACAGCGAAGCCCCAGGATAATTTTTATTTAAAATACCTTAATGACTGCATCATTTCTATTCAACCAGGTCACCCTGCTTGGCTGAGCATCCAAGGATTCACCCGGAACGGATGAACCCCTACTTTTGCAGTCTCATCTATCTCCCCCTTTCCACACAGCTCTGCTCCAGCCCACCAGACGTACTGCCTTCCCTGAACCAGCTGTGAACTTGGCTCGTTCTGTGGCTTCTGTCACTGCTCCTCCTTCACGATCTGGTAAGTCAGAATCCATCCCCGAGTCCCCTCTTCTGGAAGCAGCCAGGGGCACGGGCAGGAGTCAGAACCAGCAGTATGCATGGACCTCAGACTCTACTTCTCCCTGGGCTGCCCTGACACGCCCCTCTCCTCTGCCCACCTCCTGTGGACTCTGCGGTCTGGTTTATCTCCCAGCCTTTCACCAAATGTTCTGGTTCCTCTGACATTCCTCCTGTCTCTGGTTTATCCTCTGTGCCTCAACTCAGTATCAAATTAATTCTGCCCTCCCACTCCAGACTTTCGGCTGATTTTTTATTATCTCTTCCTTCCCCTCCTCCTGACTGCCTCCCAGCTGCTTCAACCTGATCCTTTCCCCCACTCATAGGAAGAACTACTGTGGAATCCCAGGCCTCCTCCAGGAACCTGTAGAAACCCCACCCGCGGTCCATCCTGGAAAGGGTCAGCCCGAGGCTCCTGCAGCGCCTTCCTGGCTGTGACTGCCATCTTGTGGATACACATAGTAACTGCACTGGGGCTGGCCTCAAACACCCACCTAAGGACCAAAAGACGTCTTCATGGCAAACAAGGCACCTTAAATACTGCCTTTCGCACCATGCCTATATTGGGTGTTCCAGGCAAATGAAAGTTCTGTTGTTCTGTCGCTAAGTTGTGTCTGACTCTGCAACCCCATGCACCACACCAGGCTTCCCTGTCCACTCTGCCCCAGAGTTTTCTCAAATTCATGCCCATTGAATCAGTGATGCCATCCAACCATCTCATTCTCTATCATCCCCTTCTCCTCCTGCCCTTCATCCTTCCCAACATCAAGGTCTTTCCCAGTGAATCAGCTCTTGGCATCAGGTGGCCAAAGTATTGGAGATTCAGCATCAGTCCTTCCAGTGAATATTCAAGGTTGATTTACTTTATGAAATGCACGTTCCAGGTTTGCTCAAATACTACCTCTAGTAGGGGCATTGGGGTACTAATCTCATAAAACATCTCATATAAAACCCTCTATCCTGCAGAACACTTAGCACCATGCTTTTTCCTGAGCTCTTGCTAAATGTTCTGAAAAATTCCGAATCTAGCTGTTCAAACCACGGCCCTATAATTAAATTGGAGGCAACATACCTCAACTGCAAATCAAATGCCAGGATGCTTTGCCTACCGATAGATTAGATTCCAAAAGGCTATTTTTAGTTTCATGCGTTTTGTGAGAAATTTAAGCTTGCAGTCTCTAGATTCAATCCCACTAAATATGAGTGAGGATCAGACCTTTGAAGTTTTAAAACAAGGCAGATTCTCATTTTCCCTGTGAACATACATTCTGTAGACAACTCTTTCTTTTTTTCATTCTGCTATGTTTGTATTTGCCCTTTGTCCTGGGGGTTCCCTGTTTGCCTCCCTGCCCTCCCCACCTTCCACCCACATCACATCTTTCTCTTCCCCGCTCTGTGGCCAGGAGACTGAACAATGCAGATGAAACCCCTGGGCTCTCTGACTTCCTGTGGAGTTGGGTCCTGGAAAGAAAGGAACACCTCCAGGAAAGCCGTGTATTAGTTGGCTGGGGCTGCGTAACAACAAACTGGCTTGACCAACAGAAGTTTAATTTCTCACAAATAGGGAGGCTACAAGTCCCAGATCAATGTGTCAGCAGTGTCTGGCAGGGTTGATACGTTCTTATCAGGAAACTACCTAGAGATAATGACCAGCCTCTTCTTTCCATATCTCCTGAGCCCCCGTGACTTGTGAATCAGTAGCTTCATGGCCACAGGGGAGAACTAAGCCAGCCTAGAACAAAATAGTCAACTTCTGAATGAGACAGTTAACTGTAAGGGAAGAATAATAGTCTGGAAGCATGGAGGAGGATTTGAGAGAGGCAGGAACTTGGGAAAGAAGAGTATTTGGAATACTATCAACGTGCCTTTTTGTTATTTATCAAGGACAAAATATGGATGAGCCAGCAATTCCATTTCTGGGTATTGATCTAAGGGAAATGAAAACACTAACTCAGAAAGACATGTGCACCCCACGTCCACTGCAGCATTGTTCACAACCGCCAAGGCATGGGAACCTAACTGTCCATCAGTGGGTGAACGGATGAAGAAAGCGCAGCATGTACGTGGGGCTTCCAGGTGGCTTGGTGGTAAAGAATCCTCTTGCCAGTGCAGGAGATGCAAGAAACGCACTTTCAGTCCCTGGGCCAGGAAGATCCCCTGGAGAAGGGAATGGCCACCCATTCCAGTATTCTTTCCTGGAGAATCACATGGACAGAGGAGCCTGGCGGGAGTTGCAGAGTTGGACACGACTGAGTGACACATATATACGCAAGAGAGGTAGACAAACACTAAATATATACATACATATATATATAAACTGAGTGACTATTTCTTAATGTGTACATACACTTGCTTATATGCACACATACATATATATGCACACTATACACATATACGTACAATAGGTGTGTGTGTGTACATGTAAGTGTTTATATGCCTGTGTACAATATATGTAAGTGTCAGTTTAGTTCAGTCCCTCAGTCGTGTTCCGACTCTTAGCAACCCCATGGACTCAGCATGCCAGGCTTCCCTGTCTTTCGCCATCTCCCAGAGTTTGCTCAAACTCAGTTCCATCAAGTCGGCGATGCCATCCAACCATCTCATCCTCTGTCATCCCCTTCTCCTCCTGCCTTCAATCTTTGCCAGCATCAGAGTCTTTTCCAATGAGTCAGTTCTTCGCATCAGGTGGCCAAAGTACTGGAGCTTCTATGTGGCAGGAACTTCATTAACATTTTCATGTATGGAAATTGGCACACAATATTATGCTAGTTTCAGGTGGACTACATAGGAATTTGATGTTTGTGTAATTATAAAATGATCACTACAATAAATCTAGTAATCTTCTGCTCACGTACAAAGTTATTACAATATTATTAATTATATTCCTTATACTATGTATTATATCTCCATGGCTGATTTATTTTAGAGCTGAAGGTTTATACCTCTTAGTCCCCTTCATATATGTCACCCCCCCACCGTCCTTTCCTCTGGTAAGCCCCCTTTTGTTCTCTGAATCTGTTCTCTGTGTCTATTCAGGTTTCGTTTTGCTTGTTTCGTTTTTATAGATTCCATGTATAACTGAGATCATATGGTATTTCTCTTTCTCTGACTTATTGCACTTGGTATAATACCCTCTAGATCCATCCATATTGCTTCAAATGGCAAGATTTCATTTTTTTATGGTTGAGTAATATTCCATTGTGTGTATATTCACCACACCTTCTTTATGCAGTCATCTATCAGTGGATACTTTGTTTGCTTCCATATCTTGTCTATTGTAAATAGAGCTACAGTAAACATTGGCATACAATATCTTTCCGAATTAGTGTTTTTGTTTTCTTCAGGTAAATACCTAGAAGTGAAATTACTGCATCACATGGCAGTTTTATTTTTAATTGTTTTGAGGAACCTCCTTGTGTGGAATAATTTCTCTTGATGCAAAGGAATTTATAATCTAACAAAGATGAAAGTCACATCATGATTGCCTGAGCTGATTCCAGTAGTACTTGTCAGAAGGTGAATGGTGCAATTCACCATGAGAGTTAAACGGTCTTATTAGTATTTGGAGAAACTAATCATGGGGGAGATAGCTTTGAGGAAAGCAAAAATTAAAGAAAAGCTAGAAGACGAGTATTGTTGCTGTTCAGTCGTTCAGTTGTGTCTGACTCTGCGACCCCATGGACTGCAGTACACCAGGCTTCCCTCTCCTTCAGCATCTCCCAGAGTTTGCTCAAACTCATGTCCGTTGAGTAAGTGATACCATCCAACCATCTCATCTGCTGTCGTCCCCTTCTCCTCCTGCCTTCAATCTTTCCCAGCATCAGGGTCTTTTCCAGTGAGGCAGCTCTTCACATCAGGTGGCCAAAGTATTGGAGTTTCAGCTTCAGCATCAGTCCTTCCAATGAATATTCAGGACTGATTTCCTTTACGATTGACTGGTTTGATGTTCTTGCTGCCCAAGAGACTCTCAAGAATCTTCTCCAGCACCACAGTTCAAAAGCTCTGATGGTTAGATTCTATTTTCCGAATTAGACCTCCCCAGGTGTCATATGTGCTCACAAGTGCAGAGAAAGCTTAAATCATGGTGTCAGGCTCTACCTGGTCAGACTTTATGCTAAAGTGACAGCATAAACTGCTGACATCAGAGTCATCAGTTGACTCTGTCTTGGCACTTCAGAGTTCAAATCAAGATAATTCACAGGGATTTCAGTTTAGACAGTAATTACAAGCACATTAGTTACCCCAAAGAGTTGAGGCTCTGCAAAAAATTCAACAAAGCAAAGCTTTGGAACTTAGAGACAGTAAGATAAGACAGCGAAATGGATCGAGAGCAATTTGGCATCTTCCCAAAGAGGAAGAAGGAAATGAATGGGAAAGAGTGCTAGTTTTTTATTCTACATCATTTGATTTTAAATGGCTCTGAAGCATTCTGTCCTGTTTGTACAGTTCCGGAAATATTCAAGGCACCCCTGTGTGTCCACCAACACACTTATCCTAACAATATTCTGTCTTCTGCCAGGCATGTCTCAATCATGTCTGCAAGTTATATGATGTCATTTAATCTTTCCAGTAAACCCACAAGGTGTATTCTAATGGAATTCTCATTTTACATGCAAGGAAATTGAGGTTCAGCAAGGTTTGGTCATTTGCACAAGAATTTTATAGCTAGAAAATTACAGTTGTTGTTTAGTCTCTAAGTCATGTCCAGCTCTTTTTCAACCCCATGGACTGCAGCCCACTCTGTCCATGGGATTTCCCAGGCAAGAATACTGGAGTGGGTTGCCATTTCTTTCTCCAGGGGATCTTCCTGACCTATGGATCAAAGCCACGTCCCCTTCACTGGCAGGCGGATTCTTTATTGCTGGGCCACCTGGGAAGCCCTAGTCCATTGCAGGGCTGCCATCTAAATTCAACTTTGCTGGCACTGAGAGTCTACTTATACCATGAAATGGATTATTAACT